GCTCCTAGTAACAAAGGGCATTGCTACTAGGAGCAAGGACGCTACTATGGGCTCCTGGCCTTACTACCAGTTACTAGGAGCAAGAAGCTACTAGTAACAAAGGGCATTGCTACTAGGAGCAAGGACGCTACTAGGTTCATTTCCATCAAAGCATTGGCTGTGGCATGGCTGAAGCGTCGATCTGGGCAGATCCTTGCGCGACCGGTTCAGACGTGACCCGTCGAGCAGTGGCCCGCGTTCAAAAAGGCGCCGGAGCAAACCAACGAAATTCAGGGGTAGACTGCAAAGGATTGGATGTGCCAGCTCCCCAAGAATGATCGTTTCCCCAAGATCTAAGGTTTACCGGTTTACCATCTAAATTAAAACATACTAGAACCCTTTCATTGGCAGGTGCTGTGGCTGTGTCGCTTTAGAATTGCCTCTTTCCCTGTTTTGGACCCAATGGGCATGGTGAGCCAACCCGCATCCGGTGAGCCGGACTCGTAGCGTCCTCTAGCTCCGTTCGTAGCGATGCCCTTTGTTCCGTTCGTAGCGTCCTTGCTCCTAGCAGCGATGCCCTTTGTTACTAGTAGCGTCCTTGTTGCTACTAGTAGCAGGGATGGCCTCCAACCTAATAGTGATGGCCTCCACCTAGTAGCTTCTTGCTCCTTGTAGCTGGTTGCACCACCCTCGCCCACACAAGTGTGTTTTGGTCGTGCCAGCTTAAAACGCTGTGTGCATCATGTTGGGGAAGAATAAGGGAGCAAAGGGAGGCAGGGAGACACTTCCCTTTCGTCATTTTTTTGAAAGTTAACTTCTCCACTTCTCCACTGTTCTTGGTATCATTCATCAAGTCGCATCAAGCAACCTGAAAGTATCTAGAATCTAGCATTGTGCCCATTGTTTGGGGGCAATTTGTTTTCAATATGAGACCGCTTCTTGTTCCTAGTAGCAAATTAGCTACTAATAGCGATGCCCTTCTAACTATATAGTAGCGATGCCCTTTGTTCCTAGTAGCTTCTTGTTCCTAATCCCCACAAAGGACTCTTGAAGAACAAATTGGGATTGGACAACTCAATTGCTGTATATAAGCTCAGAGAAGATGGCTGGAATCTACTGTGGTTGTCATATTCAAACCCAGTGTGGTGGCCTTTAAGTATCTTGAAACAGCTCAGCGATCACACCCGGAGTTCAAATGAAAGGATACTCGAGACCTGGTCGGTCGCAGGCCTACTGTTCATGTCCAGAGAAGTCGTGCCCATCGAGCAGTGATTTTAAGTAGGAAAAGTTCTGAAACCGTTGAGACAGATAAACACATGGTAGAAGTACAGCAGTATAGAACTACTGGAAACCGTTCTTGTTTCTACCACCTATACTGTTGTGGAAGTCCAGTGGTAGAAACACTTGGTGTTCCCCAACCTTTTGCACTCGCCAGATCTACACACACAGGCACGTTGGATGCGGGACGTGGTGACGTGGTGACGGGGGATGCTGAGGCAGCTGTTTCGAGTTTGAACCAACTCCTTGTGCCTCCTGGGACCCTTTTGGGGCACCGAGTATATATATTCTAAACGGATCCAGATCCTGCTTCTTCTGAAAGCAGATCATCCCAGGAGTTTCTTGTTGGCATGGCTTGCATAAATGGAAGTATGTTGTTTTTTTGGCAGCAGTACGACGAAGATGCAACACTGAGGACATCATCCCACTAAATACCCCTCCTTCTGATTCAGCTCCACAAAATTCGGGTGCCAAAGAAGCTCCACATTGTTCATCACCTCCGGTGTACCTTCCTGCCTGGCCTACTTCCTTTGGCTGGACGGCTCAGTTGGACAGCTCACCGGGCCGCTCCGCAGGTGGGCCCTCGCTCCACGCCGCCCTCTTCGGAGTCCCTGCCGCTGTCGAGGAGTCGTAACGAAGTCGTAACGAGGGCATAACATGTCCGTGAAGCAGAGAGCCTGGCAGTGAAAACGGACCAATTCAACATCTCTGAGACCAAGTCCACATATTTCTTACGCAGTTTCTTGGGTCGCTTCCATCGGGTCGGTTCTTGGGAGGTCATGGAAATGACCCCTTTGGCCTTTTGCAAGTGCTGCTGTGGAGGTACCACCTGCTTGAGCTACTTGTGGAGTTGTTCCACCTGCTTTCACCGGCTGAAAGGCTAGCATTTAAGACTAGTGACTAGTGCGGAGTATCATCAAAGGTGAAATGCAAGAATAGTTCTGATGGGCACCGTTGTTTCAGAGTAGATGGCATAAGCTTTTCACCCCAAGGGGTGGGTTTTGGCGGATTCCTGTGTCTACTTTGTGACATCAAAGCGAGATTGAAGCGAGTTGTGCTGCAAATTGAGCATCGCAGTTCTGCCTGCATAAGATTCCGGCACACTTCCCAAAGAGCAATTGACTCAATATGACTTAATTATCTATTATATATCTATAGAGTTATATAGTTACTATATATCTTACTATTACTATATTAGGTCCTGCAAGTTCCCAAATTATATATATATTATATATATATATGTATAATCACTCCAAGGGCCACCGGCCACCGCTTCCGCCACCGGCGGCCCCCATCAGGAGGAGTTCACGCGGGGTTCAATTGGATCCTTTGGAGACGACACCCAAGGCTTTTGGACGAGGGGTCGCCGCGCTTCCGAGTGTTTGTTGGTAGAGTTTTGCTTTTTGTGTGTGTGTGCGCGTGCTTCCTTTTGAGGCCTTCTCAGCCAAGCTTGGGTTGTATGTCAGGTAGCAGGTAAGTTGTGTGTTTGCAACAGAAGCATCAGCTGTGACCTAATTACTGGAATCAAGTCAGTCTCCGATGATTCCGATGCTTCTGGGATCTTCTGGGCAGCGTATCAGTTTCTTTCAAGCTGAGCTTTGAATAAGATTTGAATGTCCGTCATGAGACCTTATTATGGACACATCCTGTGAACACGTTGATGGACAGAAAAGGACTTGCACAACCCTCCTGCAGCTCATGCTTTAGTCACTGTTTTGCTGGTGCACAGAAATTACAGGGCATCAGCACTCTCCGGGACATCGGGAAGCTTCAGCGGCATCCTGGAACATTGGGGAAACGTGTATGAAGTTGTTCGGTTTGACTGGGGTTCAGTACCCCCCTCAGATGACTTTGACTTGGAAGCAAAACTTATTAGCAAGTTGACCAGAAGGACCCAGAAGCTTTGTAGACTGAGCGGGCTTTCTGACAGGGCTTGGAATGACGGCCAGACTCCTCTTTTGCTTGATACTTGGGGCCTCCTGGGGCCTGGGGCGTCCCCTAATTGAACGATCAATCAATCATCTCGTGGGCTTGTTAAACGGGTCCAAAGATCAAAAGTTGCTTAGTTGCTTGTTGTGACCAACACCGTCAGGCAACTCTACCCATCTCTATCATTCTCAGTTGGTTTGTTTGGATTATCTTTTTTTTAGGGGACGTTTTTTTGTGTTTTTGAAGGGGGCATCGTGGGGGTTGGACCCATTTCCATTGATTAGCTTTCTCGGATGCTTTAAAAGCAACAGCCAACAGCTTCGTGTTCTTCCAACTGTTGAACAAATTCCACATATGTGTACATGTATATATATATATATATGTATCGACAGGGCTTCCGCGTTTCTCTTGTGCATTGTATACAGTATATTCATATATACTGCATCTGTATAATATAGATATAGAACATGAAGGACTTGATTCAAGTGTTCCACCAGATCGAGAGCACGGCCACCATTCCCCAACAATGGTCCACCTCTTTGATTGAAGTCAGGGAGATTGAAAGGCCAATTGCTCTGGTGGCAACACTATTATACAGGTCGTGGTGCAGGCTGAGAAATCCCTACACCAAACAGTGGCAAACCGAGATTAAGGTTGAGTACCCATGGGAACGAGCTGTTCCGGGCACTGAATGCCTTCAAGTAGCCCTGAAAAGGGCTTTCATGACTGAGCATCACCACGCCCCCAACAAGACTGTTATATATCTCCATCCTCCTCGACATGTCCAACTTCTACGACAGGATCAACCTGGATGGTTGGACTCCGACTACCCAGCCACATGGAGCTCTGGCCATCCAGATCTGTTGTGGAGCCCGCATCCTAGAGGCTGAGGGAGAAGCTTCCCGTCCTCCTTGGACTAAGATGAGATTTCGGCGCTTTAGTTGCGGCAAAGATCTACCTTCATCGTGCTTCATGCCGGAGTTCAGCCGGAAATACCCCAGCTTGTGGATTGACAACCTCAGCTTCGATGTTGTTGATCGTGATCCGACCAATGCTGTGAGGGTAGCAATTGCTGCATATGCCTGCATCAAGGAGCTTTTGGAGGCGCACAGCCTACAGCTTTCAAAACGGAAAGCAGGGTTCGTTGTGTCGAATGCCACAGCCAAACGACTCCTTCGTGAATTGACTACCAGAAGGAGGGCCTCAGGTGCATAATGATGTCATGCGGGACCTAGGACCTAAGAGTTGACTGCACGGCAGGGCGTCTGAGGAGAACCATGACAATGAAGCAGCGGGAAAACAAAGAAGATGCACACTCCCAAGATTCCCCAAACGGCTGTGAAGCTGAAGATCTACAAGGGCAGCATCATGGCAGGCGTCAGTTGCGGCCATGAAGCCATGGGATTAGCTCCTCAGACGAGAGAACCAACCTCATGCAGCATCATGCAGCCCAGGCATCAGGACCCTGACTATGGAGCCTTCATTGCTCAGGTCAAGGTCTACCTGAAGTTCTATGGGAACTGGCCAGCATTTGCATCGAGATCTCAAAAGAGCATGACAAGTTCACAGTGAACGTCTGGGCCAGGCAAAGCACCCCTGGCAAGTCGCAAAGCGCCCGGTGGCACCTTGGACTTGCTATCTGCAAAAGCATGGCTGGGACACCACACCCCATGATGAATGGACCAAACCGGGTCACAATGGCCAACGGGGCTTCAAGCTCAGCGTGAAGCCTGGTTTGACCTCAAGGAGGAGTTGGAGAGGGCCAAACGATGGGGGTGGATCCTGCGTATCAATTAGAGGAGCCTGTGCACGAAATGCAATTCACCCTGCCTGGATTGGCACCCCTGGCATGTGTCAAAACTGTCAATCAGAAGACAGCCACTTGGCTGATGCACTGTGACAAGGTACTGTGGAAGCAACGAGCAAAAAGAGATCATCATGTAGATGAAGGTCCAGAGAGGGACGTTATTGACACGAGCATGTCTGTGGAGACCTGACCCAACGGCATATCATGAAAGCATGATATCTCGTGTACAAATCACATCAACTCAATTCGTGTGTGCGCAGGTGAGCGAAATCTGTGTGCGCAGTTGAGCTTGAGGTAACATGCACTGTTTAAAGAAGAATGTAATCGATGTGCGTGCAGCTGAGCGAACCCTGTGTGCTCAGGTGAGTTAAATGTATCATGCAATGCTGCGTGCGCAGCTGAGCGAATCTTGCGTGTGCAAGTGAGGCGCCGTCCGGCGAGGATGCGTTCTGGACGGCAGATTCACGCTCACGAGCAAGCTGCGGAAGGCTTGTGCAGCCACCCCCTCTTGAAACATTCCATTGCTGTTTGCATAGACGGCGCCTCCTTGCACCAGAAAAGAATCATGCAAAAAGTCACCTGTGTGTGTCTCTTTCGCTGTCAATGTACACATATATATATATGCTCATGTATGTGTCCTGCACTCTACTCACAAAAAAAACTTATCGCGCAACTGGTGTGAGTATGTGTGGCATGGCCTTGTACCCTGCCAGGTCCGTGCCACCTCTGAAGACTTCGACGTTGCAGGAGAGACTGGGCTCCACCTGGTCAAACTCGGGACGGCGTTCGACCCAAAAAACCGCTCTCCGGTGATTTGGCACAAATATCCCCAACAAACCAGCGGCACAATAATCAGCAACAAGCAAACCCCTCCGGGGAAAGGGCCTCCCTCCCATGGGTCCCAGGGTCGAGAGCCAATTGGATTGCAGCTGTTCTTTGCAATCTCTCCAAAGGCTTCGAACGTGAAAATTTCCAAGACTGAACACGGATGTCCTGTCGGTCTCCTGTCGCCGTGACAGGCGACGGTCACCGGTTCATCAATACTTGTCTACCTCAGCAACTTTAGCAGTCAAAGCTGTTGGCCCAGGGTACCCCAATTTGAAGAAAGTCAACCATTGCTGACTTGGATATATATATATATATATAATATATATATATAGTTCCTTCGCCCCTTTCGCAAAAACGCAAGTTGGATCTTTCCAAGTTCGGAGACTTTGCTGCGATCAACACCCATTCACATGAATGAAATGGGGGGCGCATTGGATGTGTTTTGTCATTCTGCGACTCCAATCGCCCAGTTCCACAAGGTTTCTCTTCAGGCCGAGAACGCCCTGTTGAGCCTGAAAGACCGCACGAGCATTCTTTGCTAGGTTTTACGAGGTCCAACGATCAGAACTCGAAAACCCGATCGGACGTTGGTCGATCGATGTTTGGGAGGAATTCGCGCGCCGAGCATGGGCAGCGGCTTTCGGGGGGTGAGGCCAGGGTGATCGAAGTCGATGAGTGGCGTTTTTGTAGATCAGTCAGGTGGTTCGGTACCTGGTCAAACTCGGGGCTGGACCGAGGGCTGGGCATGAGCGGTGACTGGTAACAGGTCCCGGGGTCCCGTGCAAAAAAATGAAAAAGATACCTCACTCAGGTCATACAGGTCTAATAGAGCCTGATTTTCATCAACTGTTTCGAGGTTTGTGGTAATATTTCAGTCGGGCCAGAAGAATCTTTGGAGACTGAGGGCGGGCAGGAGTCTTTTTGGGGAGTGGTGAGTTCGATTCAATCGGTTCAATAGGGAACTATCGCACAACGATTCAACTATTATTGTGTATTTATGTTTACTGATTGTTTTGTAGTGGATTTTCAGCATCACTGTTGAAACTGTTTATGGCTTTGTTGTTTGGGTTTCATCCTTGGTGGCTCATGGCTTTGTTGTTTTGGTTTTATCCTTGGCGGCTCATGTCTAGCTTGGAAAAGGGTTGTTCGGACTTTAAACCTGTCCCCAAATAGGATCCCAGAGCCACCAGCCAATTAAATGAACATCGGCATCGGCATGGTAGAAAGATGTAGAAAGCAATCATCCAGCTGTCAAGCTTCAGGGCTAAGGTTTGTTGATCACAAGGGTAGTGCGAATTACGTAGGCAAGACCTATGTAGACTGGGCCAGTTTTCAAGGAGCATCTAGCATGTTGATAAGCCGCCGTACTTACCTTGCCGCACACCCCTGATGAAGAAAAGACTGCTTTAAAAGAATGGGCTTGCAGGTGTTGGGCATTTTGGAAGATGTGGGATCCGTTCCGTGATTTGCATCGGTGGTTTGCAGCAACATGTCGGTAGTTTGCTGCAGATGGCGCGGTCGCAGGTGCTTCACTCCACAGGTGTGGTCTCCAAACCGGGATGCACCTTTGGATTGAGGGGCCGGTGGACACCGCACCATATTTCGAGACGAGTACAAATTTGTGACCCAAAAATAGATGGACAAGTGAATCCCCTCCAAAAATTATCTTGCACACCGTATCTATTTGAGGACCCAACAATCAGCTTGTAATAGAAACTTAAAGGTCTCTGAAAGCTGATCGAAAAGTAACACAAAAGCACAACCGAACAGCCACATGTGGAGAAACGACCACATGATTCATGATCGAACAAACAATTCGGTTCTCGGTGGAAATCCAAAGTTTCTCAGTGGTTTGCAGGTGGAAAGATCGATGAGATGTTGGATTTGAGAGGTAGCTAGAGCTTCTTGGCGGGTTGTAATTACAGTACTTACTCTTGAAAGACAATACAATTTGGCAGCCACAGAGACAACGGCTTGCAGAGAACACGGGGGGCTTTATGTAAACATGATGCATGGAGCTGTTCAACATCATTAATATAGATAGCAACTAACATCAACTAACTCATACTAACTCTAAAAAAGCGCCGCCGCCACCTGAGACAAAAAAAGCTTTTTACAAAAATACATAGAGCTTCCAGACAAAACCCCGATCATAGGCAGTTGCAGCCAAGATTGTATTATGTGTCCACGGCTGTTGCGCGATATTCCGGGACTTGCAAGCAGGATCTCAGAATCTCTCAACGCCGGTGTCCTCCGAGGCGACACGGCTGCCCAAGCCCTCGTGCACCCGAGCGAGCTTGGCATGCCGAGACCCAAATCCCCCTTTTCTTTGTGTTTCCTTGTTCGGATCTAACAGGGCCCCTTAAAGGTCCCTTTGCGCGCCCAGGGACCCAATGGAAGCGTAGAAATCAAAAAGTCGGTGGGTAGAGGGCTTGTATTTGATAGACTGATTGGTGACCCCTGAATCGGAAGGGTGATGGATGCAGAGGTTAGGGGTTCTCGCGGAAGAAGTTGTACTCGAACCAGGCACTTGTACTTGGTGTTGGGTCGCGTTGCATTAAAGATATTTGACCTTTTTTTTTACCAGGTTACGGTCAGATGGCTCCTGTGTGGAATGGTCTGCCATGTCAAAATCTAAATCGGTGTTTTACTTGTTGTTACAGCTGGCCTTCTGCACTGAGCTTCGAGCTTCGGGGGCAGGCCTGCCACATTAATCGCTTTCTTTTGCCATTCACCTTGTGTGTTTCGGTCATCACTGCAGAACGACATTTCCCCAACTACGGCGTGTTTTAGTCTTTAGTGAAGAAGCGCATGGGGCCTGGGAAACAGTGGTTCGAGGGACTGTAATTGCACCACTGAGTGTGGAATACACTGAACCCATTGGCCCGGGCAGCCCAGAATCCATGTCGATTAAGCAAGGGCTGTGTCAAAGGTGTAAGGTGAACCCCAAGGAAAGCGGAGACGACCGGAGCAACGAGACGTTGACGCCACCGGAGCAACGTGACGCCAGGGAGCACGTGGGGCGCTGTCAGAGCACCCCGGCCTTACCACGCTGACGCAGATTGTTCCGTGGCCGATGCAAAGGCGGCAGAGCTTTGCACGAGTCGGTGAGGGAGGGTTGGGCTGCGTTTCGCTGAGGTAACTGACTGACGAGGCGACCTGGTCGTTGAGGTTATTTTGATGTCCATCACCTCTGTAGAGTGGAGAACCTGCGTAGAGGCATGTAGAACAAGGTAGGATGTGGTGGTGACCATTCATAGAGTCGTTGTTGCAAGGGGTTGCTGTGAGCCCTTAGGAAAGAGTAAGTTTTGACCCACATCCAAGTCTTCTTGGGTAGATTCAGGAGCGAGCAGAGAAGTCTCTGAGTGTGATCTGAACAGTAAATTGATGATGTTGACATGTTTTTTGGAGCTTATGCAAACCTTGATGTAGAATCAGGTGGTGTCGGTGAGTTTGGGTGCATTTGGCGTCCAGTTCCTGGCAACATTCAGAGAATCTTGAGCTTTCAAAGGAAATCCAGAGTTGTAAACTATTGCAAACCTTCTGTAGCCGCATTCAGTGACCTGCAGAATCTATCCTGCAAACCACAAGTGACACTGCTGCAGCTTATATTGAAGTCAGGGAGTTGTGACCGAGTGTCAGGCAAACACAACTCGTGTTGGATTTTTGGATTCCCCAGGTGTTGGATGTGAAAATCAACGGCAGACATGGAATACTGGAATACAAATCCCAGGGTCAGACACATCTTCGTTGCATTTCTGGTGCGTGCTGCAGTGGTTGCATTTCGAGCACGCGCCGCAGTTGTTGCATTTGTGGCGCACGCCGCAGTCAAAAGTTTATGTTTCATGATGCTTCCCATTCCACATGTTTCTTTAAAATGCTGTCCTCATCAGACGTCACTTCGACGGAGCGTGCCGGCCAGGTACAGATGCGGTCGCGCTGTCTGAACGACCGAGTGGGGTGAGCTGCGAAGGACGCTGATCCCGATGCGGGCGGACGGCTTCGATGTAGCCCAGCGGGAGCGTTGTTTCGAGAGTGCACCGTTGGACCCAGGAAGAAAGCATGAAGCCTTGGTGAAGCAAACATGCTGGTGCAGTGTAGTCTGGACATTTGCACAAAGCATACAGCGGTTATGTATGGTACACTGTTCTAATTATACGCGAATGAAAACTGTTTGCATACGTATGTGTCGACTTGTCACTTTGCTCCATTCAGTCCGGGGACTTTTCCTTTGGAACCTGCATCGAGTAGCAACCAAACAGTATGTCGCTTGAAAAAAGTCGTCCACCCTGGCACTGGGCTCGGCTCGCGGGCAAAGCGGCGACGCAAAGGCACATTGTCGGCCATGGACTGACTGCTGCGAAGCTCTCAGTACTTCCTACTCCAGACCACATGGATGTCCCAGAATTCCCCACCATTGGCAGATCGGAATGGTCCTGTTGAAGTCCAATTTCGGGGTCCGTTGTTGGTGCATGTACCAGAAAATTGGAAGTATCCAGCAGTATCCGGTCTATCTATAACGCCTGCTTTTCAAACGACCTCACGTCGAAAAGGAGAGAAGTTCTGTCCCACTTTTCAGAGGTCCAATACGTCCGATCTGGGCATGGTTGCTTGCTTTGTTCGTGGGATGGTATTTCGTTCTTAACAGTTAGAAAACCGGAAGATGAGAATGTGTGCAGGTCCGCAGGTCCGAGCTGAAGCAACAAGGAGCATCCAGCTCCAACAAACATCTCCAACCTACTAGCTTATTGTTATTAGTAATGGCCTCCAACCTATTAATAGCGATGGCCTCCACCTAGTAGCTTCTTGTTACTAGTTTGGACCCCCCAGAGAACATAATTCGGAATGCTGTTACCGATGTGTGGATTGGTCCATTGTCACAGCAGGCCCCCGTTCATCACATATACCAGCACGCCCTGGATAGGGGAAAGGGAGAATCGATGACCCACGAATGGTTTGGTGAGAACTGTTGATTCGATATACCATTAGCCCATTCAAGGCTTGGAGAGTCTGACATTATAGACTTCTGACATCTGCCAACGCTGTTTACGGTTGGCCATAGGGATCCATAGGGTTTGGCTTCCTGATCCGTAAAGTCGACTCTGGGGATTGAGACGTCTTGAAAAATGCTGCTAGTTGTGAAGTGGTTTCAGGTGTGTTGTTGGCATGCAGTTGCACCAAATGAACATATATCGAAAGATAAATGAAGATAAGAAATTGAGAGGTTTGCAAACGTCAACCTTCATTCCAGAACCCAAATGGGTTCCAAAATCATTATACAAGGAATAACCTTGTATACATGTTATTGAATGAATAAAACAGCTAATATTACCCTATAAATGGATATGGAGTCCGGCCAGAAGTCTATAATCAAAAAAAATTAGATAAAGAGGTCGAAAGTAGCTTATTATGTTGTTTTTTGCATTATAAATTATGTAGTGGGCCCCCAGCTAAACACATCTATTCGGCAGCTGGGCGCTAGGTTTACGGTAGACTTGCGCTAGTGTTTGACTTAGGATATGTTTAGAAGTTCGTTTGATTTTGAAAAGTATTTGGCTAAAAAATGCGCTTGCCGCGATATTATTGCGCTGGATTTGCGCTCATAAACATTGTTAAATACTAACATGGATAGTTTTAAAATTGACTTGCAATAAATCTGTTTCAAGTGTTGTTTGAAAAGGCATAGAGATTAAATAAGTTCTTCGGAAAGTAGTTGAAAAATGGTCTAGTATAAATGATATTTTTGATTATTTGGTGTTATTATTTATTTGGTTTATTTTTTAAAAAAAATTAATTATATGTATTAAAAATAAAGAATTGTATCGAATTTTTGTATAAATACGATAATTATTTATATTTAAAAGAATATATTTCGATTAAATTTTATATAGAAAATATAATAATATTTATGCAAATATATTTATATTTATATTATTAAAATAATTTATAAATATAATATATATAATGAGGTAGAAAGATATATGATATGCAAATTATGATTTTAGTAGAAAATTATATGTTTTATAAATGGCGGATTTTTCGTATGGTGATGGTAGTAAGCAATAATAATACTAATAAAATATTTAATAATAGGTAGTAATAGGAGTAAGGATTAGGGATAGGAATAGTAATAGTAGTAGTGGTATTAATAGATATTAATAGTATTAATAATAATAGAAGAATATAATAATATTAGTAAATAGAATATTAAAATATATAGTAATAATAATAATATTAATATTAATTATAATAATAATATTAGTAATAGCAATAATGGAATAGAAGTAGAAGTGATTTTAATTTAAATACGGATGTAATTTTTTGTTTAAATATACAAATAAATAAATAAAAACGGTTAAATATTGTTTATCGAAAATAAACAATAATAATATTAAAATAAACTATTTTTTAAAAAAAATATAATAATACGAATAGGAATAATACTAATAAAAAAATTAAGAATAGAAATTTAAAAAACTAGAAAACATAGAAATAACATAATTAAAGATAAAAATAATAAGATATATTATATATATAGTTAAAAATAAATTAATAGAAAAAAATACGCCAAAATCATTTTTAATTATCGTCTAGAAATTTATTATTTAACGAAGAATATTCTAAAAAATCACGATTACGATAACATATAAAATTCTAAATATAATATTTTATAATATAAATTTAAATCAATTAATTTATTTTTTTGATGTAAATATATTTTTACAGAAGGGGTGGCCATGGGGCCTGGGTTTTGGTTTTCTATACATTTTCATATATATTAGGTAAATGCATTAATGCCACAATTAAAACCAAAAAACACTGATAAATATGCATAAAGGATAAAAAATACATAAGAAAACACCAAAAAGAACTAAAAACCATGGGAAAACAAAAAAAAAAAAAAACAATTCTCAGAGACTCTTGGCTGGACTCCCTTTTCCTCAAGACTTCCCCAGAATTGTTTTTTTTGGTTTTTTGGGTTTTCCCAAGGTTTTTTTGGCTTTCTGATTCTTCTGATTTTGGGGGGTCCAGCCAAGAGTCTCTTAGAATTGTTTTTGTGTTTTTTGTATTTTCTCAAGATTTTTTGGTTTAGCATCTGAACTTACTTCTCATCTCAAGGCATCTGTTCTTTTTGCTTACGTCTGAAACCGTCTGAGCTCAACACTTCCTTCGTCCTTGTCCAAATCCCCATATACAAGTCTGAGTGTATTAACTGCTGATTGATATCAATGCGGTTGCCACTTGCATTTCCAAACAGCTTGACATGCAGTTGCGAGGACACTCTGTCCTTTACATGAAACGGTTGGAAATCTTTGCGAGCGTAATTCTGTGCTTATAGCTCAAGCGTTTACATCTTATTCTGGCGAATTTCTAATTTTAATTCTAATTCCTTTCTAATTCAACCCTCATTTAATTTTAATTAGGCTATAGTTATAATTCAATACAAATTTATTAAAATTCGGTTTTACTTCAATTTTATCTTAATTCTAATTCAAATCCAATTTAATTTTACCTAAATCTATTCTAGTTCTAATCTATTTAGTTTAAGCAAACACATGCTACAAAACCCCGTGTTTTACAGTAATTTTTGCCCTGGAAGTGCTGGGAACAAGACTAAAACTCTTTTTTGAAGTAAATAATTAGATTTATTTATTGTCAGTAATTATTGGAGATAATATATACATATTAAACATGTTTTATGTACAAATTTCTAATTCAAGAGCTTCCCTTTAGATCTCTAGGGATGATTAATTCTACAATAAAAATATATATAAATTTTCCTTTCAAAAATTTTCCTCTGGATCTCTAGAAATGGTCATATCAATTGAACCATACTATATATCAATAAATAAAATTTTCTTTCAAGAATTTTCCTTTCATGAAAACATATATAGGGATATCTATTTTCCCAGAGATCCTGAGGAAAGCTTTGAAAATGCAAGTTCTTGCCCGCAGAAATCTAGAAGAAAGCTTTTAACATACAAGGTTTCTATATGGTTATTTAAATCTAAACATAATTATCTATAGAGATCTATAAAGAATCTTTTGTAATATAAAAGAATCTATACACAATCTTTCCAAATCTAAATATAATTATAAGCAGAGATCTAGAGGACAATTGTTAAAACGACCCCTTTTATGGCGTGCTTCTTTTCTATTTGAATGATTATTTGTTGCTTCCAAAACAATAAAATTATCCTAATTCAGGAATACATAATATATTTGTTCATATAGAATGAGAACAAGAATAAATATGTGTGTTTAAAAAGAGGCTGCCATTAAAACATATACCTAAAATTTTAAGGAAAACCAAAACCCAGGTCCCATAACCACCCGCTCTCTATTTTTAATAATATATATAATATATATATTTATAAAAATATATATTATTTTTTTTCAATAATAATAATCTATATATTGTTTTTTATATAAAATAAATAAATTTATATATATTAAATATATTTAATTAATAAAAAATATATATATTTTTTTTTAATTCAATTTATTATATATATATTACAATAATTGTTATTATTTATATTGATTTCCTTATTCATTCCTCCATTTATATACATTTATTCCTCCTTATATTTTTCCTTATATTCATTCATATCCCCATTCCCATTAATATAACAGCGCGGGCAATCCGGCCTACTATTTCGCGACCAGCCGGCCGGCCGGCTGGCCAAATAGCGACCGGCCGGTTGGCCATAACGGCCGGCCAAATAATAATAATAATACTAAACTAGTAATAATAATAATACTAGACTAATAATAATAGTAGTAATCGTAGTCGTAGTTTAGTAGTAATAATAATAATAATAATAGCGATTTCTTCCATAGCCGGCCGGCTAACACATTAATCGGCCGGCCGACTACCACATTAATCGGCCGGCCATAACGGCCGGCGGACCGGCCATATATTAATACTTGAGGCAAGGGGAGGAAGCGAAAGCTAACGCTCCAGAATGGGAAGGTAGAGGGCAACGAGGTAAGAAAAAACGCGGCGCTCT